ATGAAGTCGCCTCGCTGTCTGTGCGAGATTTGTACCTGCGGGTAAGCAGCCCCACGGGTCGCCAGCGCCTTCGGGGAGTGGGGCCAGACCTCGGTCCGCGGGAGGGTGTCCCCACAGGAAGACGGCGGCGGCTCCCCCTGAGCACTCCGGGCACTCCCAACACCACCCCCACAAAAACTCCCCTGATCTTGTCCCCCTCCTCCCCCTTCCCGGTTTTCGCGAGGTACCCCGTGCCCGGTCGTGGCTAGTACTTTTAGCCGTGGGAAGGCAGAAACTGGGTAACATTCCCATTTCAACGGTTTCTGGCTTCCCTGTTTTCTGAAAGGGATCTTCTTAGTAAATGTGAAGTAGTATTTTTATGTTTAAATCAAGCAGGGGAAAAGGCAGCTCTTAAATGCATTAAAATAGAAAAGAACGGAGACAGTCCTTCAAAGCCACCTAGACTAAACCTCAGGATCAGGCTTTTCCATACAGCAGAGCCACCTCTGCTGTGTGGAGAGAGGGGCTGCACCGATCTGGCTAAATCAACCTTGACAGAAACCCGTGCAAGTGCTACAGCCTTTAAAATAAATCCAACATATTTGCCCTGCTAACATCACATCCAGTAATGCTCTCCACCGTGAAAGGAAGCCCCGCTATTTCTTTACATTCAAGTGATCCAATATGGAAACACACAGTCCATCATTGTACTGTAGCCTCTTTGGCCCAGGGAGGCTGGCATAAGAGGGTAAAGCGGGCAATTTGTTTGTTTAAAATTACTATTACAGGTCTATATGCAATATTATCAATGCCATAGGTAAAAAAATTCACATCAGGTTTCCCAAAATCATAAGGGATTTAAACCTTGCAAAATTCAGATATATGTTTGTAAGTTTGGAGTCAGTACTGTTACTACTTTCAATTTCTTCTCTGTCTACCTAAAAAAAAAAAAAAACAGAAAAATAACCATCCTAGCATTCAAAGATACAGTCTATAATATTAAAAAAGAAAAAGTCATCCAACAACTGCATACTAGGAGAGTCATCCTAAGATCACAAGAGTGTTATCACTATCTGTTGGAAGTACAGGGCCAACCCTATGGCTGCAAAGCACACCATGAACTACAGGTTTCAGTTTGAGGTTTGTATAAGCAGACTTATGTGTTTCTGTATGCAAACTCTGTCCATCTGTTCATCAGTCAATTTTTTTTTTTTTAAATCTGTAGATAGAGGTGAGAGACAGGCAGTGTGTAAAGCTTCTCATGTTCTTTTTGGCCAAGACTGTGGGTGTAGTTTGCCCTATAAATTTGTTTCAAAAGTCCTAGAGTAACAGAGTTGGAACACTGTTTTCATGATGAGATAACAAATCTGTCTCAGGCTCAAGTATAAAGATGGTGAGATAAAACAATCTGACAGCAGAAAATGAGGTTCAACTCAAAATTCTCAATTCAAAAACACAATTTAATAATATGAATAATTGAATAAAACATGCACAAAACTTACGGTTTAAAATAAACGTCACTGAAGTTTTTACAATCAGTAAAATCTTAAGCCATTATTGGTTTAGGCAGAATATTGTGTTTACTTCAGTGTAACTATAGTGTTTCTGTTTTTAGGGGAAGACTGGTTGCTTAGCAGTGTTACCTGGATATCACAATGCATACACATCTTAGAAGAGATTTCAAAGCAAAGAATAAGATCTAATATTTTGTAGAAGTTATCATTTAGCTATTTGCAGGAAATTTAGTTGAGATACAATTACTGTTTAATCCTAAATAATAAAATAGAAGGAAACAATCTTCTGTAGCTGTTCACAGAAGAAAAAAAACTTGGAAAAATTTTACAAATACAGGGGAGGAAAGTCAGTAAGATAGAACTTTATTCTGCTTTCTCTTTACAGGGAAGTGAGAAGAGCCTCCAAAGTTCTAGAATGACCTTTTTTGCACCGTAACATACACAATGCACTCATCAAAGGCTCACATCTGAGTGCTAGTGTTCATGCTTAGGGGTTGCAGTCTTGGGCTCCTAACCAAATATTTGTTACAAGATTTTAAAGAATATTTTGAATAGATTCCTTCTTATTAGACTGAATGGCTTCCTGTGCCTATTAGATGATCTTTTTCAAAATCAGCAAATAATTGTAATGCTAAAAACCACTGGAAGTGTACCTAGTGCTGAGCATGCTTGAAGATCAATTTGCAAAACAGGTCCAATACTGGGGACTTCTCCATTTTTAATAACTGACATAATTTCTAGCCTCTTGACCTTAAGACTTTTGAAGTAGCGTAAGATGTTGCCAAGGTGGTATGATTATCATTTTCAAGCTGCTATGGTAGAGGTGTAAGTTTGGTTAGAGGTTGTTTTTGTTTGTTTTTTTTTAATAAACCACAAAAATGTTCTCAAAACTGCGTTGTGCAGAGTAATGGCTGGATTCTGTATTGTTTCCTAAGATTTTCCAGATCCATTTCTTATTTTAGAAGTGGTATGTTTTTAATGTGGAGAAAGTATGAGCTAGTCTTGGGACTGATCCATAAAGAGAAGGAAATACTTTTATTTTCTTATATTCCATGGGTTCCAAATGTGTTAACTTAATACAAGAGAAAATTACCCCTTACCACCAAGTACAGTCAGGCTTCAGATCATTGGCTCAATAGAAATGTCTGACAGCAAATATAGAATGTTACATCTAGCCTCCAAAGGAAGAATAAAGCCTCTGAGGTAGATGAACTCTCTGCACTCAAGAATAGTATTTATCTACTATAAAAGACAATCACAGCATACAGAAGCATAGAAGTTTAATTTTGAGATATAAAAATAAACTACTGCTTTATCTTCTTATCAATCTGTCAGCCTTTCCCCACTTATTGCACATTTGCTATCATTATTATAAAAATCTGGATTCCTGAATAAATATAAGTGAAAAGGAAAGAGGAAGATTTCTCTAAAATATGGGATATTTAAACCTTCATACTGACCACACGTAAATACACACAAACCCAATAAAAACTACCAGGTGTCCTGTTTAACACTAGGAAAGCAGATGACTCTCAAAAATACAGTGTCCATACATAATTTCTGTCTTTCAGACCATAGTGAAATCAAATAGACAATAGAGTCATTGGCAGTTAAAAAAAATAATCAGAATTTTGAGTTGTGATTTGTTGGGGGTTTTTTAATAAGTTTTTACGATTATAAACAAACTTTTTTTATTATTAGTCTAGTTCTGTGGGAGGAAGATGCTTTGTGGGACAATTTCAAGGGTCTTGCTAGCATTGCGTAAAACAGAACTGTATGTATGCCAGATCCTAAATAAGTGAAATTTATCATCATTCCGTTAAAATAATCACAGCAACAGCATTTGTCCCATATACTATCAGTTTTATTTAGCTGAGATTCTGTTCAGACCTTATGCAAGCTACAAGATAGTTAGTCTCCCTTAAAGAAGGGAAAGAATAATAATCCATCAAGACAGGCATCAGTCAGTCATGGGGGAAGGCATATTCACACCAAATGAATTTGAATTATCAGCAGCTCTGGGGTTGAACTTAAGATAACTACAACGAACAAGTTGAAAATAATCAGTGACTCGAGGAGTTCTGGCCAAATTGTAAGCAACATATTTCATGTATCAGAGCTGTAATCTGCCTTCCCTGATGATTCTTAGCATCGTCTCTCTAAAGAGCTGTGATGTCCTATGTAATCAGTTTTATAAAGTTATTATTTAAACGAAAGCTTTTGGTTTAGCAGTTGGTCAACATCCAAAAGTAGATTTATTGGTTAACCAAAAAACCCCTAATCTCTTCTCCAAGTCAAATTCATATTTATTTTAAGGTAATTTTACATTGCCTTTTAGACCCACTGAAAGTTCCTTCACAGTACAGAGTAGGATGTAGGATCTCCTGAACAGTCTCATCTGGATCCAAGTAACTTTGTGCATATTTAGAGGTTGTTCAAAATTATTTCATATGCTAGAAGTGACTGGGATTAAGGATGTTTTTGATTCAGCAATAATTCTAATGCAATTACAAAAGCTTCTTTCCTTGGAGAGACACACTAGATTACTTTCAACTCTGTCTTGAATCTACCAAGAAGTACAGGCTCACTCTGCAAGTAATTATTTTTCTAGTATCTATTTCTGTCTGTACCATGATCATTCAGGAATACGTGGGATATACTGACAATATTGCTCAGAAAATAGTGAGAGTTAAGTCTTTAAAGAGTGGTGATACCAAAACAAAGGTGGTGTCTTTTTTGGTGGTTGACCTTGTGGACCAGCTTATGTCAAACTGAAGACTGTCAAAATGAAGTTTTTGTGGATAAATATTGTTTGTTTCAAACTCCTTTGAATTGTATGCCTAAAATAGGTGAAGAACAGTATAATTTGATACCCTGTATTTCAACTAGCTTTCAAAACATACATTCAATGGTTTTAGTTTCTGCTTAGCTATTACTTTTAGATGATACACGACACAGCATCTGCCTCTTATACTTACTGAAAAAAATATTACTAAGGTGGTAACTGAATTTCATGAAGAATGTAGTGACAGGCAAGCACCGTGCTGAGAAATAGCACACACTCACCTCCTGGTTTTCCTACCTTTCCTGTTCTTTCCCTGTTCTTCCTTTTTCCTTTCCCTGATATGTTCTGAATAGATGTCTCAATTGTTACTTGACTATCTGTTGACTTGATTAAAAAGGAGTAAGCACCTGAGGCTTTGAAAGGATCTGGCTTACACAGGGCTCCTTCATTTTTCATTTACTGAACTACTGAGCTGGCAAAGTCATCCAGCCCAAACTAATACCAGCTTTAGGGGTCTCCAGTTCCAGATAACTTCTTTTAGTGTTGGATTTTTGGGGTTTATTTTATTTTTCCCAGCAAGAGTCCTTCATGTCTGTTTCTGTATTCTATTTTACCTTGCTTTAATTATTTTTTTCCTTTTCGGTATTCAGTGCTTGCTAAATTTCTTTGCGGACCTCTGAACTATTCCTTGGGTATCTAGCTTCCTGAAACTTGAATTTATTTGTACCCGGTAAGGGTATAAATAATAAGGGTACCTTTCTTGTTCTTGAGTTATTTTTGCTTTTCATGTACAGAATTTTACCAGATTCATTTATTTTTAAAATTATGCTTTCTTTCGTATTTCCCTTTGCTTCTATCTGAACCAGTATTGCCAGTTGTCAGCCACAGGTAGGAGGCTGACAGTATATATCTCTCCTTAAAGGAGGGATTAAATAATAAGCACATCAGCAAAAATAAGATTTTAAAACCATGCTTGAAACAAACTACCAGAGACATGTAAGTGCATTATGCAAATTAGAATTCATATAATAAGAATTTCAAAGCAATATAGAAAATAATCTGTACATTTTAATCTCATGCATAATTAACACAAAACAGCAAGGTACAAGTAATAAATTAAGTCATGATAAACCTCTTAACACAGTGGTGTCATTAATGAAAGCAGGTGTAATTGAAGTAAAACCTATTAAGAAAAAGAGATGTCATTACTTCTAAACAAGCATAGTTTTTGGATAGAGGATTTAGTCTCCTTGAAAAATGGTTGAAAAGTCAGAAATGGCCTGCAGAGCTCTGGAAGTCCAAGTGAGATTTCACACCACTAAAAGTTTAATCAAAAAGAGTTAATCAAGAGTTGTGGTGAAAATAGATGAGCAGATGCATAGATATAGAAAGACAAGTGATGAGGAAAAACAGTACAAAAGAGACAATATGAAATGAGAAATGAAGCATAGCTAGTTCTTTTTACAAATAAGACTAGTAATATCATTAAAGTTTAAAAAAAAGAGAGGAAAGTACATCTCGGTGGTAGCATCATTTAGAGGACTGAGATCAACTCTATGCATCCTTTGTATTCTGTACTAAGGACTAACTTGCATACTTACACTGTTTATTACTGTATTAGTATACTGTGCTCTGGGATCTATGCCATCAGCACAATGTTTTGTGGTTTTATCACTCAAAGATTTTAAACACATGCTACTGACATTCTTCAATCTTCCCTGTTTGTTATTCACTCCCAGTAGATAGGGCATGGGTTTTCCCCTTAAATGAAACTATTCAAAATGATCTCATCTGATGTGTTTTACCCAGGCGCCATCGCTGCCCTCATAAACCCACGAGGATTTATGATAATGGACAACAGCCATGCCTCACAACAGAGTATGTGGAAAAATATCCCAAGTATAGCAACATCTCTCCTCCCCGGAGCCTTAAGCCGAAACAAGAGTACCAAGCGCATCATGGAAAAATGGAAGGAATTACAACATTTAAGTAAACATTTTGAAGCAATGTATTTTACAATTACTCTGTAAAATCTCTTATGCTTTCTCATTTAAGGGGGAACTGAACATTGTATTGCAATCATTTTCAAAATGCAATCATTACATTCTTTACACTTTTAACATATTTGAAAGTATAAATTTTGAGTCTAGAAATACAGTTACCACAAAAAGGTCATAAAAAATAGTGAAGCACACATACAAAAAGATTTGCATTCTTTACTGCATCCTTTAACCTGGAAAGATAATCTAAAATTTCTGTCCTTGTTTTCAACCTGTTTTGGAAATCTAGGTCTCATCAAGTCTGAAAAAGCTGTCAAGCTGGAGAACTTTCTGTAATACTTGTGTGGAATCTGACATAGTGGGAAAATGAAACCCTAAGGAACAGATTCAGACAGTTCTAAATTATTGGGAGTTTGAAGAAAGTGAACTGTAAAGGGGTTCAGTAGGTCTGTCCTGTCAATGCACAGACTCTGACGTTAAACTTACAAGATTAAAGAGCACCTTTCAAAGAGTTAAAAGAAGACATCACTCATTATTAATAATGTGACAGGAGCATAAACCTTTACTTTTTCCATTATTTTTCTTTTAAGCTATAAGAGCAACAGATGAAACTTCTTTGTTTATAAAAAAAGGACATACATAGAAAGGCCAAATGCTTTTCTGCAAGATTGATTGTGTACTGCCTATACTGTTTAAACACCTACATATGTAATATACACCCTTTTAATGTAATGTGCCCATATAAAAATGATGAAATGGTGTTTCTGATTATATTCCATTCTCATGAATTAGTAAATGCTGCCACTTGTAGTAGTTTGATCTTTGCTCTGCTTCTGCTTTCTGGATCATTTCTTTGTAAAATTACAGCAAATTTTTCTAGTCTCCTTTCAGACACTTTAAAGAATATATTTTCAACTTGGAATAAGACTTGGAGTTTAGAAAAGGTTGCTTCACGGTATACCTTTGAATAAAGGCTATATCATGCATCAGAGACCCTAGATTTGGGTACTATGATTTTCTTTCCTCCTTGCTATCCCTCTAACATACGGCATCAGATTGATTTTTCAGAGTAAACATAAGTAATTTTTTTTCCATATAATGGAAAAGTGACAAAAGTAATGCCATCAGAAAAAAGAAGTATTTTTAACCAATGTTTCCTTTTTCCCCAATTCAGATCTGATTATTTACCCTATGATATTGTGAAGCGACCTATTCGAGTACAAGAAGAACATAAACCAAAGACGGGAGAGAGAGAACTGGGAACCACATACCAGAAAGATTATAATGCTTATAAAATACAACCAGTGACATTAGTAAAACCTCTAGAGAGAAAACACACTACAGGAGGAAAATTGGATACTATACCAACCTATCAAGGTAATAATATATGCTACCTTTAGAAAGGGAAATAACCAAGATGAAGGTAGTACTCCGAATTATCTATATTAGAAACTGGATTTCTTAGTTTGGGCCAGAGAGTAGGATGTAAGAGAAAGCAGGTGGTAACACCTTCAAATGTTTAGCACTCCAGTTGTTAGAGGTGGCATTTATTGTTTCTAAACGAAAAGCCTTCTCTAACATTTTGTTGGCTAGAAGAAGAGAAATTCTAACATACACTAGGTTAAAGCTATCTCAAGCAAAAGTTGGTTGTAATTAAAGTACCAATATATCTTTCAGATAGTTTTAGCTCACGTAACCCATGTTTTTCCACAGAGCAGGTCAAAAGTTGATTTTAGATTTTTTTCTTGTGTACTGTATAGCTTCCATATCATCCTAGTAATGATCTGTTTTGACACAAATTACTATATTACAATGATCAGAACAAAGGCACTAAATCTTTTAAGTCATTCTGGTAAGTAACTTTGATACACTTTATACAAGTAGAAAATTTTATACATAAAATGCGTTCCTGAATTTGTTACACGTACTGCATTGCTGCAGCCCCAGTTAAGAGTAAGTAAAAATAAATGACGAGCTATGATCTACTTTAGAGTGCTAGGGTGAAAACAAAAATCTTCCTGATTATGAGGGCCAGGGGTACCGAAAGGATACTTCAAATAACGAGAAACAGATAGGGCTATTAAAACAGGAAGTTAGACTGCTTGGTGCGAAATGAGCAGAGGAGGGAGTGCCGTGACGGAAAGAGTTGGTAGGACAAAGTTTGGGAAAAAAGGCTCTTCAAAAAAAATCCAGAGTTATATTTCACTAGCTTCTTTAAGCTTAGGCCTATGATAGATAGAAATGCATTTATATAAATATTCTATTTATATTTATTGGTTGTAAATAATTTATTAAAAAATTTAAATATTTCTATTTAGCCTATGTGTAAGCAGTAAGCTAGCAAATAATGAATAATTTATCCTAGTCTGAGCATACAACTAAGACAGCATGCAACTGTTTCATTTAAAATGTGTGTTAGCAGTTCAACAGGGAGTAAGGATCAAGGAGTGAAAAAACAATGAAGCTGAAGTAAGTACAGTGATTGCAAGACAACAAATTGATTTCAACTGCCTGTGAAAAAGTTTACAGCAAGTTTAGATGGAACAGTAAGTTTTGTAACTATAGCAGAACAGTCCGTTAGTAAAAAAATCCAGAAGCAAAGAAAAAAAAATCCCAACAAGCTTTAAGGTAATATAACATTGATTTGGAAATTACAAGAGAATTCTCCCAATCAGTAGTGAACATGACCCATTGACCTATGAGGTTCCTTGCAGTCTTACCTATTTATGTAAACTTCCAAGTAAAATATAAGATATTGTATATAAAACCTGTATATGGCTATTTTCTGTATGGAACACACACTGAATATGTACATGCAACATTTTCTTTTTCCTTGAGGAAATATTCAAAATAGGGCATCATGTACAATTTTTTTGTCTGTTTTTATCACACCAGTAATAGAAGACAGTTTTGTCATATCCAAATGTGCAGATTACATTATCATTCTCACTTATATCCATTTTCTTTGTTTTGCAAGATTTAATACCAGAAGAATGTGGATTAGTTTTAAAGGAATAGTCTCAAATAATAACACTTGTATGGTGAAGTTTTGTTTTTGCCTTAAAGATGACTATAGGTCATGGGAAGTTCAAAGAAGGGAACCTAGTAAGGTGGAGCATATATACCACCCGCCTACAAAGAAGTTTGGAAATTCTACTACGTTTCAAGATGACTTTGTTCCCAGGGAACTACATCCCAGACAAAGTTTTAAACCTCCTTGTGTAGGCAAGCTTTCTGACGTGCCTTTTGATAGTACTACTAGCCATCGCACTTTTTATATTGCTCATCAACTGGAACCAAAATTCCTAAGATCAAAAGAAGAGTATAAGCCAAGCAACCAACCCTTTGAAGATCTCACAACCCACCGGAATGATTTTAAAGGGCTACCTGGGCAACTTGCAAAAAGCTGCAAGCCTGAAAATACAAAAGTCGGATCCAATGCTCATTTTAATGGAGTCACTGAATTCCAGGATCGTTTTCAGCCATGGTTGGTCTCCTTGCCTGAAGTCCGCAAAACGAAAGAGTACGTTCCACCTCCAGGCAACATGGATTTTAACTCCTCAAGCCACCTTGATTATGTTAAGCATGAGATTTCTCCTGCTGTCCCCATAAGACCAGTTTCTAATGGAAGAAGAACCAATGCCCCTTTTCAAGGGAATACTACTACAAAGGAAGACTTTAAAGCTTGGGCCAGCTGTCGGCAAGAGATTACTAAGAAACACCAGGAAATTCCGAAACCCACAGGAAAATTTTATGATTTAACTACATTCAAATCTCATTACATACCACATCAGATCATTCCAGCTCCAAGTTTCAAACCTGTACATGCTACAGTTCCTAATTCAGCTCCTTTTCAAGATGAAACTGTGTATCGCACAGAATATACTCCAAAGAAACAAGAGATCTGCCCAGCAAATTACCCATCCCCTCCAGGCTATATCTATGTGAATACAGATTCTCAGGGTCACAAATTCTTCCGCCAGCTTACTCCAAAATTTTCTGAGTCAAATAGTAATCCTATTCCAAAGGAAGTAGCTGTTGTGTCATAATACTTAAATGCAATATTTCAAGGACCCAGGTGAAATAACTGGAATCCTACTCATTCATTTTTTCTTTAAATAACACTGGAAACAAATTAAATGATGCAAATTCTGATTTTAAAAGCACTTAAACTAATAGCTTAAAGAAAAGCAAAGCAAAACCAGAAGTTTATTAGAAGGCTAATAAGGATTTGCCAATTTTTTATAGGAATAATGCATCTTGCATGGCATCTATTCTTGTTTTTGATTGTGCATTCTAGTTTCCTTGACTTCCCAGATTTCATTATGCTCCATCTCAACCGTATGTACTGTACATTTAAATTCTTTCAGATTTTCTACACATCAAATGATTGTATTTGTGAAATAACAAGTATCTTATGATCATAACTTCTTTCTATAGTAAGAAAATAATGCTACAATAATCTAAATAATTAGCTCATCAGTCCAGGTTTTCATCTCATCAATATTTTGAGCAATGGGATAAGAAGATTTTTTTCTTTATATTTTGCTGCCCAAATCCTAAGATAGCATCCCATGACACATAGGCACCTATGCATTTCTAAAAATCTGGCTTTAGCTTTAGTCATTATTACTTTTCCTTCATTCAGTTCTGAGGAGAGTATAAAGGTCACACTGTAATTTCTGAAAGCAATTAACAAGAAGTAACCTTGCTCTTTTTCTGCACACATACTTGAAATCGGTCAGACATAAGAAGCAGGTTATTAGACTGTTTCCTAATTTCCCTGACAGTGCTTTTTCAGCCTTACTTCCAAGGGAAACAAAGCTGATGCAAAGCTTTGGACACACTGACACACTAAGTGTGTGTTGTCCCCACCTGAGTAATTTTTAAACCCAGTGTGCAAATTCAATCAAATTTCACAAAGATATTTCACTGATGATTGTTTTTCAAGTTTCTAAGGCAGATGGTGAGGAAGCAGATAGAATCAGGCTCAAAAAGTTAACGCCCATCCACCACAGTTTTTGATTTTTAAAGCTAAACAGCCTGTTTTCACTACCAAAGTTCACTGCAGAAATAGTTTGAAGAGGAAAATGGCAGAAGATTATAAAGGTGTATGTACAGATAACAGAAAATAGTGTAAACTCAGGTAAAAAAAGAAATATCAAGCAGGATGCAGAAATCTCTAGACAGCCTGGCGTCAGTCTGTCTGCTCTTCAAAGAATTACTTGTTACAAATACACAGAAAAAGAAATATTAATAGAAGTTGTACATGCAATGATTATGCCTCTGTATGAGATATGTAGTATTTTCTCTGTGTATCTTTACCTGATTTTGAGAAATCTAGATGAACTGATTTCAGTCCTATTATGTTCATTATTTAAGCTAGTCCCAGTAAATATTCTACGATTAACAGGGTTACCTTGTTCTATCGCAGTACTCCAGAATGATTTTTTTTCAGTATTGCATATCTTGTACGCATTGGTATAGGGCTTTCATATGGGTTCTGAAGAATTACGTGCTCATACTTCATAAACTAAATCACCAATAAAGGGACTAAGATCAACGATGGAAACACGTTGAAAGCAGGAACTGGAGCATACAGCAAGGACGAAAGCTGAACTGAGTATATTAGCCGTGCATAAAAGCATTGCATGAGAGCGCTCCAGACATTATTAGAGCATCAGTTACTTTTAGGTAATTTTTGTCTTTGTACTGTGTTTTTGTAATAGGATTTACTCTTGTTAATGAAACGATAATTCAATTAAACTTTTCTCTCTGAAGATTATTCATGTTCCCAGCTGGTAAAGACATGTTTTGGACTGGGCACGAGCAAGGGCAACATAGAACTGTGATAGCCTAAAAACAGGACAGGAGGTGGTCCAATTCATTGGTCATCCTTCTGTACCACAGGAGAAAACAAACTACAAACACCCTTTTCTTTATGAAACTTGAGTCATTCTCTGTCTGGCCACACCTGAGGAAAAAAAGACAAAACTTCGCACTTACACCTACCCAAGTCCATAACCTATAGACAATCTTGGTACCTCATGAGAAGTCTACAGAAGCTCCTAATATCCTCCAGCGCTCTCTTCTAGGGAGGAAGGAAACTCATTGAGAAATGCAGTCTGAATCCACGAACCTATGAGTGCCTGTATGTTCCGCTGAAAATGGCTCCTCCTCTGGGTCTGTGAATGAGCCCAGGTGCTTTTTGTAATTTTCACAGCTGATTTTTTTAGTTCTTAAGTCACTCCCCCCCACTGCCCTTAACTTATAGAAAGTCATTTGCTGCCACCTAGCAGCACAGTACAAGAATTTTTGAGAGGAAGTGGAGGGCGTACTCAGATACATTTAACAGTTCCTCTGCAGGTGTGTTTGAAGACTTTTTTTAGGGTGGAGGGGGCATATTCCCCTTCATTTTGCCCTCAGAGCTGACTTATTTGCATTTTGGCAAATTTTCTTCCCCACTTTTTCAGTCAGGATACATCGACGTTGCCTCTTAATAGCAGTGCAAAGCAGACTGTAATGAAACTGAAAATCTGTCTGATAAACTGTCAAAATTAAGAACTAATCTTTGCTTTGAAAAAATCCCAAAATTATGGACATGGAAGCTTGATAAAATAACACTTGGAATGAAAGCATAGCTACCATGAAAATCACAGTAATAAACAATCTCTGGGTAGTCACAATGTTGAATAACCAAACTAGAGTTTATTTCAGAAATATCAAAACTACGTTCAAGAAAGCTAAATATTAGACATCTTCAATTACTGGAGAAGCAATAATCTACAGAGGAATGTCATGCCAATTGCAATAACAAACATTTACAGCACTGCTTCTGTATAGCATGCATACATAACCAAAGACAAAGCAACAAAAAATGCTATGTGTTAACATTTGAAAACTTTAAATATAAAGGAAAAACATGAATAAGAAATTTTGGTAATAAGAAAAAATATATGTCCAAAAATCTTTATTAAACACTGTACAAAACAAAATATTGCACTTTTAAATCAGACAATAAATATCTACAAAAGTATCTTACAAATGCTTTATTTTAATTTAAAAAACTGCTTAAACAATCAAGACCCATTGCTGATTAAAAAGGTAATGATCAGGAATATCCTCTCCTTGCAGTTAGCCTTGGACAGAATAGTCCACATTAAACATTTTCTATACAGTAGTGCTAATCTAATTTTCAGTGATGCAAACCCATTGTACAGGAATGCTGTTTCTAAAACTCTTCTTACAGCATACCCACTAATTAGTATGTAATGTAGTTCAGTAACGTAACACAAGATCCAAGTCAATACAAGCATTCAGGCCTCCAGTATATGCAGTAGTTTGGAAACTACAAAACAAAAAACCATCTGTCTCCTGCCTCCTATGGGGTTCTCTCTGCTTACAGCCCTAAATGAGACATAATCTGCAATATGGAAAATCATTTACCCGGCAATATCATAATCGGAATTTATCAACTTGCAAAAGACTCAATGGTTAATGGTCATGACGAAAAGTCATCTTGATGGAAAACTGCTCAAAATACAGTTCTTGCACTTGTCTATTATCATAATTAATAATTATTCCTTGGACATTTGCAGGGGGGCAGGGAGCAGAATATTTACTCAAGACAGAAAACCTGACAGCCATGTTTGGCCAGTTGTTGGCTCCCCATTTGAGTTGATGTGCAAGAGAACAGGGCTTGCAAATATTTCATTCACGCTCTCACAAGGAAGCCTTGTGTCTAATTTAAAATCAGTAGAAAAGTCTAATCATGCCAGAACTTCAACTGTAGATCAGTGACTATAGCAGAATGGAAACAATGGAAAATGACACCTCATTCATTTAAAACAGATCTATTGCTGTTTTGAAAATTGTACTAGCATCTACAATGTCTTTTACTGCATACACATCAGTACAAGCATGAAAAATTAAATGTACTTCTGTGTATCCATCTGACAGCTAGTATCAGTAAAACACATCCTGCGAGATCAACCCTTAAGCTCAAGCTGTTTATGAAAATGAAGTCACAGCCAAAAATTTTACAGCAACAATCCACAGCTTCTATAAATTTAAAAGTTGTGTTGAATATGATAAAACAATAAAAACAAAACCTAGGGATCAATAGTTGCCACATTCCAAAATTCTTCCAAGGATTTTGTGACTTTGTTTTTCTCATGAGTTAAGGACAGTAAGCACTACCTAGTACTTTTAGATAATGCTTTTCCCCTGATAAAATTATAATGTGATGGCCTGTAAAATATTACAGATGATATGCCATGATATTTTCTTCCTGATCCAGACACGAAAATGTTTAAAATATTAAAGTTCCATTGCAAAGAGTGGATAATAAAAGCTCCCACAAAAAATACCCTGCCCAGCATACCAACCTGCGATACTGTTTTTTCCTTAGCCCCATGTTTCCATGTAACTGTTATGACTAACGTCTTATTTACAAGTATATACTTTGAGCAGGCTAGTCTAATGAACCTCTTTTCCCATTTCTTCACTGCAGCATCATGAACTTTCCATAGAAGAGTTACATTTCTTGACATGATTGACAACATCTTTGTTTGTAGATGTCTATCAAGCATAACTTTAGTTGCTTTACAAATGTACAGTAGTGAGTTGTATCCTTGCATTCGCCTTCTGAAAAATATATTTAAACATTAAAAGGCTTTATAATGGGCAAAAGATAAATAGCAGAACTTCTCATTGAAATTGTAAACAACTAATGGATTCCTGGTAGCTTTGTAATTATTTCACGTTGCATTTCTGGCAACAGTGGATTCAAAGCTAAAACGAGGTCACAAATAAGAGGCGTGATCTCGCTGCATTCATTTACCTATTGTCCGTTTCAGAAAACTACCCCATCTTTCGGGAATTAACAGCTTGCTCAGAGACTTATGAGTCACAACTGGCACAGTCACCTAGGGAAGTTTGCATAAAACAACTTCCTAAATATCCTGTTTCTAAAAGTGCTTTTGAGGCTTTAATATCAAACTGGCCTACTCAGAGAAAAATAACCCCAGGATTATGAAGGGCTCCTTGGAGAGGATAGTTTTACCTTTGATGTACAATCAAACGCTTGCAGAATCATTAGTGTACAACTGTGAGTCACCTTCTAATATAACTGCTACAAACTATTATTATGCTCATATATAAATAAACATTTACATACTGCCACAGGATGTGACATTGCAGTGTTGCCAGGTCACTGGTCTCTTCCTCCATCCACAATACTGATGAGCCACAGGTTTGTTATTCTTTCCGTGTACACAGTACACTCGTCTCGATTGAAATCCACTCCCACAGTCCACGCTGCAAGGCCTCCACGGGCCTGTCCGCCAGTAGACATCACATGCCTCTGAAGAACAGTTTCTTCTAACAGGAGACCTGTGGAGGAAAACAAATGGCAGTCAAATGTTTCCTTTTGTGCTAAACAGAACAATAAAACCTATGTTGGAAGGGACTTGTGGAGACCGATTAGTCCAAAGCCCCTGCTCATAGCAGAGTAAACTAGACCAGGTTGTTCCAGACAGTCCCTGTGTTTTGAACATCTCCAAGGATGGAGACTCCACAACCTTTCTGGCTAACCTGTTCCAGGGTTTGAGAACCCTCACAGTAAAAAAATGTAGGTTGTTTTTTTTTTTGTATTTAGGTTGAATTTCCTGTATTTCATTTTGTGCCCATTCATCATGCCTCACTCACGAGGAAACAAAAGGCAAGGCCCTGTTTCTTTAAACCAGTTGCTTAATCCTGGGATAGAAAAAAGTGTTTTACCTTTGGGAAAACTTAACTGACCCTGAAATGTTGTATACTGGATGCTGCAAGTTCTTCATGCATAACCTCTTTCCTGAACACAAGTAACACTTCTGTGATGACACCGAACCTCCTTGAACATTTGAAGCTGCCAAAGTGATATCCTGGCTCTTAATAGTAAATGGAAGTTTCACCATGTACTTCAGCGGAGACAAAATTTCATTGTGTGTTCAGCAAAAGTGCTTTAAAATGCTCACAATTCAGAAGCACTTCTACAGCAAGAAATATGAAGAGCTGGGTTCAGTAATCTAGAAGCATGGCAACAATTCCCATGTATGTACTTGTTACTCATTTATTCCCAGCTCTTCATTGTCCTACCCACACATTCGGTCTGGAACAAAGTTTTGTGCCCCCAGGCCCCCATGTTCAGTTTTAGTTTGTCTTTAATTCAGTCTTTTTGAGATTATGGTGTTTTACAGAGACTGCCATCCAACCATAGCATAGCCCCAAGTGAATCTGCTGATCAAGATTCTGTGGAGGTGTAAAGCCTGTACCTTTTGTACTGAAAGGAGTTGTTTAAAGAAAGTAAAACAAATTAACAGAGTTCTTAAAAAGAATGTGTACCTTGAAGTAAAAAGTCACACCTTCTCAATCATTCAGTTTTTACATACCTCAACAGTACATACTAAGAGGAAAAATGAGATTTATTTATGCAGAGAAGTACACCTTATTTCAGTAATCATAAACTAGTAAAACAATTTACATGGTCCACAAAATAAGGCCCAGGAAAACGCTTATTTTATAAAATCCAGGCAGCAGTAGACCAGGGTAAAAGTAGTATCAGAAGAAATCTAGTTCAGCAATAATAAAAAAAGTTATGGCAGAGCACTCCAATTTCTATCTCCGTTTTTGGAATCAAGATTCTGTCACGCTACTTCTAGCTTTGCCATTGTCCTCCACAGTGGAGGACACCGACCAAATCCATTACCCTCCTTGGGTGTGCATCCAGTGTATACAAAGGGGTGACTGTCACAACCTCCTTGCCTTGTGTTTGATACATAAGAATTCACATATTTATACCGCATTGACAATCCTGTATCTTTAATTCAATCATCTAAAGAATCTAACTTGTAATAGCTTCAAACTGGATACCTCTTTGTTCCATCACAAGAAGAGTTTGGCACCAAAGATCCATTACGAAGTTGACATATAAAGTGACGATGCTGTAAACCTACAGGGTGGCCTAAACAGCGACCAGAACACTAAAAAGTGAGAGAAAAGGGTGAGGGGAAAGAAAAGGAAACCAAGTTAACAACAGAATTACCCTTCTAGGCAGTTACCCAGTTACACAACCCAGACATAATTTTTGATCTGTATTTCTCCTTCTTCAACCCTATCACACCTCAGTTCAGATAAGGCCTACGTATTTTGCATTCTCTGTGTGCAATTTTGCCAAGATACTGACTTCCCTACCTATTCGTAAAGCTAAATCCATTGTCTATACTCCTGTCATTTCACATCTCTAGTGCTACAGCATTCTTTCTGTAGCTCTGACAATCCCAAACTAATACCTCTATCAGGAATGCGCCAACAGTAATTCTCTTAATTCATTACTTTGCTCATTGAATAGTAAACACTGTGTCAATAGTCATAAAAATTACATCAATATCAGCACAAGTTTACTGCACAAATGAAGAAACATAGAAGATGAAAGAAAGCAGAGTTCTGTGTATTAAATATTGTGTCAACTGCTTTTGAAGCACATTCATATATCTTTCTTTGGGGACTTCACAAGTACAGCTATGCAAACTGTGTTCTTCTAAGACTGCAATAAAAGCAATATATTAGCTGAAAAAATGGAATACATAGTAATGGATTAGCTTATAAAGTATACTGAAACTAATACTCAGGTTTCGGATCACGTCTTCAACAAATAAAAGCAGCTCAGACATCAGAAAATGAGAAGAAAAACCAGGTAATTCAGTGGTCTGAAAGGGAATTGCAACTAGTGGCAGATAGCTCTTCCCTTGTGCAAGAGAACAGATGTTCAGCCAATGTTATGATGACACTGATATACTTTTATGACATGAGTTTCAGACAAACTCTGTAACTTACCTGGCCTTTTGTCTGTATCGTCCCCACTGTACACAAATGACCCATACAGGGTTTCCTTCCCACAGGACGATCTCTGCGTACACAAGCATCTGGTAGCAGTGTCAGCACACTGCCGTTGGCTTTTACTTGTTGACAAGTTATTTGTCGATAGCGAAATCCATTGCCACAAGATGCAGAGCACTCAGACCACGGGCTAGTTACCCACCTACAAGATGCAGAGACAAATTTATAGCAACTGTTAAAGATTGCAAACTTGATGGTAGTTTGCAGCAATCTGCAACCAAAAGTCAAAAGAACTCGTCATTGCAAGTTTTAGATGTGAGAAAAGGTAAAATCAGCTTTTTCAGTTGTTAAGCAAGATGATATAAATTTGGTTAACTGATGACTTCTAAGATAACTGTGGCTCAATATATGCTAACAGAAGCTACACAGCTTATTACACAAAAGGTTGTACTAAGTAAACCCTACAGACCCTGCTGTATTTAACATTTCTGAAGGAAGGACAGCATACTTTTCCATAACTTACATAATGAATAGTACTGATTTAGTTACTACTAAGGTAACAGGTGTCATAACTCATCCAAATTTATTACATCAAGATCTTGCTAGATAATGGCTTAAGCAGAACATGTTATTTATTGACTAGAAGTTGCAGAGATTATCTTTTATGGCAGCTAGGAACAATACTGGGGAAGCAGCAGGTGGCAATATAATTTATTTGACTTCGTCTTTTCATAAATCTAGGCTAGAAATACAGAATGCGACTTTATGCATAGCACAACTGATAACAGGGAAAATACTCTATTCTCTTTACCAATTATTTCATGTTCTTGCAGTCAAACAGTTTATATCCATTCAAGGAAGATTAATCTTTTACAGTCTGGACCCTTGTCTTTTTCTCCCTTTTGAAGCTCAAGTACTTTGGCAAACATTTGGTGCAGCGCATGCACAGCAAGTCAGCAAGACCCAAATTTGGCAAACACTTAAAGCACAAATTAAGTACATGCTTAAACCCTTCTATTTGCTTAATTGTACTTCTATGCTGTGCTGGAGAGAAATGATTAAATACATGCAGAACACTTTGAATAATAAGGGCCCATGACACTGACCGTACATCTAAAGCTTTTATAACTCCATGGATACATTCTGAAGAGTTGCCTTGGTATGAGATCTGCAGAAATCAGTAAGTGGGGAAATGGAAAGGGAAGCCCAAACATTTTGCACTTCCCTCCCAGGTCAGTAATAGCAGGGAAGGGGGAGAGGTTAGAGGCACTAGGGACCAGACACAGGGCTATTTTCCAGGCATCTGGGATGCTCTTCCTATATAGGAAGTGTGGAACACTTCATAAAGGAATAACAATTTGTATGTTAGCGTACACGTATAATTCAAGGTAAGAGTTTATGATGTTAGTATACACACAATTCCCTTCCACTTGTAAATATATAAAGCCAAATTAAATGCAAAATACATCTAAGAATTTTAATAAGAGAGAATTTAGGTCCCAGTCTCTTTAGCTAGATGAAATAATTGACTGGGTTTTGTGGTGAATACTCTGGGTCCAGTGATAATCAGACTGTTAAGTCATGCACTGCAGCCCACTGAAAAGGCATGACCTTGCTCAGGGGAGCACCGAGCCCTCTAGTGTCCTCCTAACTCTCCGTCATCTGCTCGGAATGGCTGGGTTTTAAGAGGGAAACCTGCAACTGAGTCTGTGTGTTTCAAACTATTAGTTCTATTTCAGTATTTTTCCACTGGCAAAAAGTTTGCTTGTTATGGGCTGGGCAGAGCTCAGACTCACAATTTAAGATGATCTGTTTTTTTGGCTGCTAATAATGAAATATAAACAAATTCATCCTGATATTTATCTGTTGCTATGTTTTCTGTATTTAGAACAGAGTTTAGAACATACTGGCAAGATGTACCCCCACAATGTCAGTTAAGGTCTTAACACTTCTCTCCAAATATTTTTCAGTGAGGGACAGCTCCAAAATGTGTGCATGACTTTTCATCCCTCACAGATTTTTATGTTGCTGACAGCGATGGCCAATTTTTTTAAGCAACGGAAAGCACTTGTTTTGAGGACTCCTGTGGGATTTCCTGCTAAAAACCTAGAGCAACGCCTTGTTGAGCTGGAAAGCTCAGTGCAACTCAGGAAGTCGAGAGGTAAGGTTTTGGCTATTGGAATCAGATGTTGTGATATACTTGCCTGTGATGTAAGGTTTTCTGCCCCAAGATCACAAGGTAACCCAGTTGATCCAGTGAGAAAATTGTCAGGGAAGGACATGCAAAGAATGTGCCACCGTGGTGAGGGGCATTAGCGACAAATGAGGCATTCCACAGTAAACATCCTACTCAGAGCTCTGCTGGCACGGAAGGAGAGGAGGTGAACACAGAGTATCCTGGCTGAGTTTTCTCTCTGTGCGTTGGCACAGACTCCGCAGAACTAGCAGCTCACAATGTCTCGGAGAGACCTCCAGCTTAGCTTTTAAGGGGTTAGCGTGGTAGCAGCAAGACTTGCTGCAGCTGTGCGGAGACTTGCACAGATCTCATTTATTCAGCTGAATCGAGCATTCCCCTACTTGCTTGTGAACCATTTTCACATCTCTCATGCTTTAGGCTTCATGATGAAGTGAAATCCACATTTCATTCTCAGAGTATTGACACAGAAACGACATCAGGAGCTTATGAGTGCATTTTAATATACATAGAGCACATGGAAATAGAGTAGAAAGGAGTTTACCTGGCAGGGCAGTCATTTGTGTTGCATGGCTGGTAAATAACCACTGGCTTTTGCAACTGTCTGCATAATGATTCGTTTACTTTCTGTTTCTCTGCATTCATGCATTGTAGTCTTCTGGAGCGGGTTCCTGAATTCCCACAGCTAGCAGAGCAATTACTCCACTCCGCATATTCCCATCGATAATCTTAAGAAATGCAATTGAAAGTAGTGTGAGAGAGGCACTACACGTTGTAACTGTGTCACGTTTTAATTGATTTGGCAGCATATTCTGTGAGCTAGATAGACACTCGCTTTTCTGCAGAGGATGCAGTATTTCAGCATTGCGAAAAGGGACCATAAGCCAAAGTAGAATTTAGTCCTACTCAGCTTCCCCTCAAGTTCAGCCCCTACACATGAGCATGAAGTTCTCTAGAAAGCCAATGGGATCAGCACAAGTGCATATGACAGGCAGAACCTGGCTCACAGTAGGAACTGATGAACTTCTTTTAAAAATTTTTATAAGATTTTTGTACACTGAGCATTAAAGAGAGGAAATGGTAAATCAGGCTCTCTAGGTTTCCTGCTGTTCTACAGTAAGTTTATTCTGAAGAAAACTCATCTTAGTCCAGACACATTATATCAGGACTTTAAAGAATCCTCTACTAAATGACAGAAAAGTGTTTAATGCATAAATAATTTGCCACTGAGGCATCTGGCAAGATGAAAAAGGAATTTGTTTTAAAGAGCATTTTATATTAAAAACTAATCACCGCTAACAATTACTACCTTTATATTTAGTCACAATTCCACACTTACCCCTGTCCCTACAATTTTTTTTTTTCTTTGACACTTGGTAAAAGATGAAGTACTATGCAATGTTGACAGATTTTTATGTGATCACAGGAGGAGTCAGATTTTTCTGTAATAACCAAGAATAATTGATAGCTACCAGCTGTGTCCACAGGCTCGCTCTTCCAGCACATAATGAATTCTTTAACTTATTGTTTTTCAATGTTTCCTTATTACTTCTGGGTTTCTTAAAATAATACAGAAGGGCTTTTTTCAAAGTAGAAATAGTTAAATTTACTGACTGCAACTATGATGGAGAGACTGTATTGTTTGTTTAACTAGGATGATACTGCTCAGAAGTGCCCTCAATATGCCTACTGTGCAAAAACCGCCAAAGGAGATTTTGCAGTCTTACAAATGCAAGGGTGTTTCAGTGACGAAACGTTTACATAGGCAACAATCAGAGTTAAAGCTCATGACTAGAAAATGGAATCTCCCCAAAATACTGAGCAGCCTGCCCGGAAAGGGCATTGGGCAACCAAAAGGCAGGCCAGCTAAAGGCTACAGGTGGACAGTTCAATACCTGGTTAGACCTGTTCAGAAATTCTAAGTTTAATGAGATCTATATTAGGACCAAGGCCTGGATATACTTTTTTTATAACCTCTATTGAGACATATTCTGACACAGATCATTAATGTTTTGATTTACTTTCGATTTTAAAAATAAACATTTTGATCATAGATACGTTTCAGTAAAATTACCTTGGAAATGTAACTGACTCTGCAACCCCATACATACCAGCACCATTCTCACCCAAAAAAGTAATCCCCTGGCAGTCACTGAGAATACGCTTACACACAGTGTAGGGGATTTGTAAGATCTGATCTTACAGCTTGAGTCTTTTGCATGTAAAGAGTAAGCCAAATCATATTGATATGTTGATAGATAAATCACATGCAAAAACTTTCAATTTCAACAGACACTTGTTTTTAAACCTGACTTGCATTCCCTGGGCATTGACTGGTTTGAGATTTTTTTTTTTTTTAAACTGTCAAAGGGAGTTTGGTGCTTTGCTGCCAGACTCTTAGTAGGATCTAATTTCCAACTTTCTTTTTTAAAACCCAATCGTAATGTAATTAATTTCTAAAGCATTTTAAATATTTAAAACTTTATACAGTGTTTACAGATACAGCCTATTGTCCTGCTGGTGCATACAGAATCATAGTATAGTTTCGCTTGGAAGGGACCATTAAAGGTCATCTAGTCCAAGCCCCCTACAATGAGCAGGGACATCTTCAACTAGACCAGTTATGTAGGACCCTCGTGAAATTCATCTGTAATCCTCAGCTGCACATTTTATAACCTGCTAACAGAAATGTAGTTTTGTGCAAGCGCATTACATTGAGAACATTAAAAAACGTTCTTGAAATCTTAACGTGGCAATTGATGAGTGTGCAGTGTGCCCTAGTAAATTGATATGTTTAAGGGTGACTACAGTAAGATGGTTACCATATCATCGTACTGACCCTGGAATATGATTATTATCATAAAAGAATTTTAATGTAATTAAGATATGTGCAAAGATGACCTCAAAGTCAGTTTTGTTTCAGTTTAGTGGGCTATCATGGCAGCAATTTGTATTACTTGTTGAAGGGGTATTTGAGAAAACCTGCCTGATTTAAAACTGTTTAAGAAGCAAGACATTGAATCAGGCAACATTCTCTCAGCTACGCAGCTAAGAAATGAGAACCCCTACATGATATTTGGATACACATTAATTCCCATATCCAACTCTGAGTATGGACATTGTCTATTGCCTTAAATGGGACTATTCACATATGTGACGTTTAAAAATGTGTTTATGAATTACTTCCTATGTATAAAAGCAGGTTAGGTTTCAGGAAAGACTTTACAGAGTGAAAGAAAATAGTTTTAGATTTAAGAATTTGTCATATAATTTTCCACAAACCTTCCTTCTTGACATTTACCCAAACTGACATTGGTTTTGCACTAGCTGAAGTCCAACATTGGAATTGTCCAGCAAATTGACCATAGTTGGTGTTCACCTCTAGGATACGACCCCCAACCAGGGTTCGGTATTCCAAGGTTTTAACTTTCTCAATCGGACTGTCTCCGAAAAGCCAGTGAACTGTATTTCTGTAGCTGGGCAGCACTGGGCAACCTAAAAATCAACAGCATTTTAGCAGGTTTTTCTAAACACATTGAAACATTTGTGAATAAGTATGTACGATTGTGTGATTCTACATAAAATACCTTTCCAGTCTAAATAAAAACAAGAGTATGCATAATAAATTCACTGAAGTCCAAGCTATGGCCCAAAATCCTGACTGCCCCTTGAGGGTTACCAGCTGTGTAAGCTGATGCATACTTGCCATAGTTCTTTATATTTTTCAGTAAGTTCTTACAAACGTAACTTCTACATGAACAAAGGGTGTGGGAGGAACAATTATTTAAATAGAACAAAGATTTCACCCCAGACACTACAATATGCAAATAGAAACTCTTTTAGTACAAACCTATCTGTTTTGGAAAGGAGTCAAACACATTAAATGAAATTGCTGCATTTTCACTGCACAGGCACAAGCAGAGATGGAAACAGAGGTATTCATTTAGACAGAAAAAAAAACCCAACCAGTTCTAGAGCCCAGCTGAATCCCCTCCCACCGCTTTCAAGTGAATCTCAAAGAGAAATTATGCAGCTTCAGTCTCATGGTGAGTCACCTAGACAATGCCTAAAGGGTTGCCATTTTAAAACCTTATTTGAAAAGCCAAATAAAAAAATAATTGTATCTCTTACCCTGAGGCTCCCTCCCTGATAACAGAAAGCTGAGATAGGGTTAAGAAATCCAGCACGTCGCCAAGCCCAGACTCTTAGGAATTACACTCACTTTCTCCATGGGGCTCTCTCCATTACAAAGAAATGGATAAATGATATCGTTTAAATGACAAAGCAGAAAAGACAACATACCTATTCTTAGTGGATCTCCAGGTATCACACTGATATTTGTACCAATTCCAGATGCCATTAGGACACGCTTTCTTCTGCTTCCCTTTGATAATAGAGTGTTATTTTCTATATATCTTTGTTCTGTAACACAATGCATAAGATCTCTTCTTAGCAAGAATTATATTAAGATGCTAAAAAAAATTGTATCAAAATATCCAACATGCAAGTTATGAAACAGGAATTCTTTAGGATTAACCTCATTTATGCAGTTAAATTGTCCATCTAACAAAAATACTTCAGATATGTAAACAGAGACATGCAGGAATTATAATGTTTATGAAAGTTTTTAAATTAATCAGATTTATTGAATTTTATTTATTACAAAAATAAGCCTGTAGCACTTCATGTAAAAACAAGATTTACAGGACACATGATGTATTTCCTGTTTTTCGTGACAATGTTGTTTATTATTACCAGTCATTCACATACAGGAATTTTAAGAAAAATAATTCTCTCAGTGGAATCAGACCAATTCCTCTGTTCCATTAGATGGAATTACGACAAAGTGCTACAACAGAAAAGAAGAAAATCTCTTAAAATCTCATTATGCATGGAGATAGCATAATGTATGCAGAATCATATGCCTATCACTATAGCAACTCCTCCTTTTTATCTTATGCCAGACAGAATAACTGCCAAAAATGTGGGCAATCTGTCAGCAACACACAGTTCCTGCCACTTAGTCAACATTTCTTTTTTAATGAATGTGCATAATATCCATGATTCTCCTTCCGTAATGGTTTAAATCTTTTATTATATTCTAACTTCCGTGGGTCGTTTTACATCGGTTCAACATTTTTACTCAGCGTGCAATGGCTGTACGAGGCCTCCTGCTTGTCTGCGTAAACACCGGGACAAAAAAGTCTCCACAGGACCATGGTGAGGCCAAGTCCCGCGCAGGCAAAAGGCTAGCTGCCTGGTCAGTCCTTCGGAACTTTTATTTGAAAGGCTGCACAGATTCTGCTCTGCTGCTTGACTGCCCCAGTAATTGCTGCAGCAAAGCCCAAGAGCCTGACTTGATGTTGCTTTAGACACCAGTGAGTCAGGGCAATCTGCAAGCCCTGACACCAGAAGCCCTCCTATTTCACTGCAGTTTTGTACAGCCAAAAGAATTGCAGAATTTGGCCCGCTCCTATCCACTCAAGATTTATTTGAACTAATGTCATGTGACCAGAAATAGAAACAAAGTTCAGACTCTTGTAAGCAATCTTCCCAGTCGCATCATTATAATAATATACCTCTCGGGAACATCTGAAGTTTTGATGTAGTCCAGGAAAACCGAACCCAAGAAGGGAGCTTCAGTCTACACTCATCCTCACACAGAGACTCCTATTGTGTCTTTGGTACGTCTTCCTTGGCCAACGGAGCCAAACATCTATAACCTGCCCTACACACGTGTGCCTAAGAAAGCAAGCTTTGTAGCAGGATCGGCCATGTATAACTGCATTGTACTTCATGCAGCAAAATGGTGAGAAAGTTAATCTCTAGAGCTGAATGATCCATTTATTGGAGCCATTTGTAAGGCACGATTGTATTACACAGTATTACATTATTAATCTACGAGTCATTTAAATGGAGTTTTTCTTTACATTTTCTATTCTGAGAGCAACTCGTATTCAGAATTTTTTGTTTTCCATTTCACTACATTTTATTGGCCTCTATAATTACAAAAATTACCCAAGTCTAAAACTGGCCTTTGCTTTCATTTCACTGCATTTCCCTGCAGATTTTCTGAAGAACTCAGGCCTGCCCCGTTTCCCTAGATAAAAGCACTGGGAACAAGGTAATATTGACAGTGGATTCAGTTTTCTAATGTGTTTGCTTGTTTTAAGGGCTGATATTTGTTGCCTGGAAGCAAGAAGATGGAACAACTTTTGAAGAAGTCACGAGTCAAACCATCTGTACCGATGGAAACGGTACAGGAAACACAAAATAGAGAACAGATCCCAGGGAGTCAGATGCAGTCAAAAATGCCAAGTTCATAATGAAGCGTTGAGTATCCCCCCAACTACTTTACTGGTTAAATTTCATAACCAAAGTGGCTCACCGTTGTTATCAGGAAGGAATTCTCATTTAGCACTTACCAGTTAAGTGGAGAACAGATGCAGCTTCAGCTTTTCCGAGCGCGTTGGTTGCTCTGCAAGTATATGTTCCTGCATCTTCATAGGAAACATTCCTCAGAAATAGAGAGCCATTCAAAACCAAGAAAGAATTGATTTGTGGAATGTCTTTCTTCTTAAACCATGTTACATTTGGTTGGGGAACACCTTTAAAATGCAAATATTTATTGAGAGATACACGCCATGGGCTTTATATTGCTAATTGCTACCATCACATTCAAAAATCCTAAGTTCCTTCGTCATTTCACAGATAGTGTAAACCAAAGTAACAACACTGCAGCAAAACAAGTACTTTTTTCCACTCACAAAACTTGTCAGTTGTGAGCCCTATTAATAAATCCGTATCCCACTGAGATTAAAGGTTAAGCACTGTAAGGCAAGCTCACAGAACAGCTTTAAAAACTGCTACCAGTCCTACAAAAGCAATGTGCTCATCTGTCTTGCTGCTGAAAGACGAGACCATGAACCCCAATGAGAACCAATTAGCATAAAGATCTGCACAGCATCTTTTCATTCAACCTGCAACCCAGAATAGAAAAAAGATATATTTATCAATCAGATTAGAAAACATATGTGGCCAATTTCCACAAAAAAAGTTCCTGAAAACTTCCCCAAGTAGCAGGTGTCCTATATAGAACTTGTCACAATGCAGCGCGAAGGAAAAGGAACAGAAAGGGCTATTAACAACTAAACGAGGGGCTCAGTTGTTAAGCAATCTCATTTACCATGTTATAGAAAGCCAAAGGTCTATCATCATTCCTACTGTAACACTTGAATTCTGAGAAACTCAGCATTTGCAGATTTTGTCATTCTAAGTTTTAATCAATTAATGGCTTTGGACATTTATTTTTAATTAGATTATTTTTTCACTGGCACAGTACCACCCTTGTGGGAGGACTTCTACTGTTTTATTTTCCTCAAACATTTGCCTTTAAAAAGATACTTTGCAAGTTGGCAAAGCAGACACTTCATTGCTTGTGCTCTGGTTGAGCTGCTGCAGCAGAAGTGCTCTTTCAAAGCTCCAAAATCCTAGATAAATCACGGGCTAAGTCTGACACACGTGGCACGGCGAGTAGCCGCAGAGGGGCACAAAGGCACGGGGCAAGGCAGAGCGGTTAAATGATCTTTCACCTGAACTCTGTTTCCTCTATATAAATTGATCGGTGCTCACTGAAGACTACCAAAATGGGTCCTACTATAGAAGCTGACCTGAACGTGGGACATTTGGAAGTTTCAGCCATATTGAATGCTAATTCAGTCTCCTCTCTTCGCAGATCATTGTGCAGTATTACTTTACAGATGATGTCTTCATGATGTGGAATAGCCTTTAGGAACAACTTTAACATTTCAATCACTGGCTTAGCACTTCCAATGCACACCTCAAGTTTTTCCTTCACTGTAATAGGAACCAGACATATTTTTTGGAACCTGCTATTTCACTGAAGGAAAAAGCTCCTCCCACCATTTTGTCTGTCTGGAGAAAGACGGCAGAGAGAAACACTCTTCTGCATAATCACAGATTTTATTCTGGACGATTTAGCAACTGTTCAGTGCTTTTAAAGTCATGAGATTGTGTTTTACTGAATAAAACTGCATAAAACAAAATACAGATCCACAAAGTGCACAAGGGTGAAAAAAGACAGGCTGTTTTTCAAGTTTCCAGAAGAAGCTTTATACCACTTTGAGAAATCCTTTTGGAATCAGGATGAGGTCTTGTTTTAAGGGTCTTTTTTCCATTTTACCCCAGCTTTCTGGCTAAAGTGTATCATTCTCAGACATATTTTTCCTTTGCAGTGTACTTTCCATGGCCATTCAGGCATATATACTTACTATGCAGATGGGCTGTGGAGGTGTTGCAAGGATGCTGAGCTGTTTTAATCTAAGACCTAGAGGTTTGCAGCCAGACTACCCTCAATGGCATCGAAATCCTTCAGAGCAATCAGAGCCAAAAATAAGCCAGAAGCAGCACGGTTGAGATGGGACTGAAGTCTAAATATTTGTAGTCAAATTCCACAAAACACAAAAACACAAAAATGTTTGGAAAGGTTCAAATTTAAGCTTTTAACCTGAGCCTCTGTCAAACTTCAGCCCAATACTGCACCATGACACTGTCCTCTCTATGCTCTCGCCATAGCATTCAGAAATGTACTTCATTCCTGGGATTTAACTTAAGTAAAATAATTCTTTCTTCCAAGGTTGGTTTGTATCATAGAATTTATCCCGGAAAAATTGCCATGTCTCTACAGTTCTACCCATGTCTCATTCAGAGACATGTAGAGCCTTTTAAAACCTGGACTGGAGTTCATTGTACAGAAGAAATCTGAAGAACAGCTTTGCCTCTCATTTTAAGTTCAAAATTGGGTATCTGTCACACACCTTAAACTCAGTTCAAGTTTAGCAAATGATTCTTTCTTTCTCCAAAGAGCTGTATACATTTCTCTTTAGGGGAAACAAGCACGTAATGCCACACACACAAGTAAATCAGACCATTTCTCCAGTGAATAATGCGAATACACAAAACATAAATTCTTGGTCTAAGGAGCAGAAGTGTGGATAGAGCCCTGCATGGCAGTCCAGCAACCGGTCCACCTGAAATGCACAATGAATCCATCCAAGCAATCTTAGGGGTGCTGTCACTTACAGGTAAAGTTGGTGGAAAAAAAAAAACCATGAAAAAGTCAGTTAAATACGTAATGGAAAACACACCACCATCGTGCATTATACCTGGTTATCGCACGCTGTCTTTTTAAAACAGAGTTAATGTTATCTCGATACCTTCAGGGTACATCCATAAACGTGAGTTATTTGAGCTGAAAATAGTAGTGGGGATAATCACAACACTCCTGCATTGTATTTTACCCAAAACTACTGAGAAGTAAGATTTTTATCTAAGAGTTAATAATTTTTATGTGAATGTATGCCGAGGCCCTGTGAGCCGGCCCCTTCACAACTGTTTCAAGGACCCTTCAAGCTTTTGCATTTCATGGTTCCTTCACTTTCCCCAATGTTTGCATCACTATCTGAGAGTGAGCCTGGGAGATACTGGACCATCAGCTTGAGCCCAGAGCTAAGGAAAAAAGGAAGATACCTTTCAGAGAAGGGTTCAGAGACCTACTACAGGCTGGAGTATAGCGGGAAGGCAGGAGAGGGGGCAGGACTCCGCACGCTCTGCAGTCAGGACATGACTGTATGCTCTAACCCTGCCTTCAGGGGAACCCAAAACTGCCGAGCACAAACGGGGTACAAAGCTTTTGGAGTTGTGCTTCCAGAGAGATGCAGAAGAGAATCGGGCCAGAAAAAAAGTTTAATTGGGTGGTGCTATCCCATTTGCTGATAGGCACCCTATAATGGGATTAAAGAAATAAAGCAGGAGAAAAAGACGTCCCTTATGGTCCAGGTCCTTTGCATTCTTCGGCAAAGCAGCACGTACACTTCAAGCTTTTCTGGACAGCTTCAGTGTATCTGCATGTTTGTATTGCCAGTCAAAAATCCTTTTCTGCCCTAAGTCTCAGGAGAGACGCTGAGTTCTTGTGCATACTGTCATTTCTGGAATTCCTATCAGGAGAAACTGTCCTTCTGTTGGAGGATACTAAAAAAACCCCTACCTTTAGGTGGGCATTTATCTCTTTAATAGTCTCTGTGCTCCTTCTCATAACATGGCACACAGCAGAACCTCAGCATGCAGTCACCATTTATACATTTCAGGTGAAAAATCTTCTGTCATGCAGATTTTTGATGCTTTTCCTTTAGAGCAAACCTTTAGAAATTAGACTCCATATTTACTACTCCTGAGATAAGATTTTTCTTCCCTGCTGGTATGCAGCACTGCACACTGAGCTAAGTCTCATCTATCAGCTCTTGTGAGAAAGCTGGCAAAGTACACAATTCCCACATTCCTCTTCTGACAAGACTCTTACAGTAGCAGTGTGAAAACCACCGAATTTCCTACACAGAAACGGCAGGATAGAGTTTAAGCATACCATCAAAATGCAAGAAAAGCTTTTTTTTTTTCCTAGGCAAGTAGTTAAGGTCCAAAACCTGTGCTTGATCCTTCAATATTCATGTAAATAAAACTTTAAAAGTTTTAAGTACTGTTTTCTTACCCAAGGAGAGACAAAACTAAGCAAAAATAAGCTAAACCATGAGGTGTTGGTGGGGTTTTTTTCTTTTTTTTCTCTTAAAGGTGACAAACTGAATGGAGCTGAAATTATACTTAAGCTTTGGGACATGTTTGTAGGACTTCATGGAGGAGTTCATCTTGTGCACAAGGTGGAATTTTACTGCAGATAGTTGACTTTTCTTTACATACAGGTTGATATACACAGGGACTTTACATGGACAAAAATAACATTCACACTATCTTCAAGAGCCTTTTTCCATTACAGAATTGTAGTGAGAAAACTATTAACAGACTTGTTTAAAATCTCATTACATTGAATTTTAAAAATATGTCCTGTTTACTGCTGTGATTTTCTGCCCTCTGTTCTGACAGAGAAGTTTCTACTGTTGTCATTTGTTCTTTCTCAGACAGTTCTAAAATGTGTCTTATCTTTCAACTTACTGTCCAAATTTAACACATCTACATCAGCTTCTTCTAGAGAATGACTGCCTTTCTGTATCCATCAGAAGACACCAAATCATTCTGGGAATTATTTCCTAGACCTTCTCTTCAGGAAAAAAATAAACCTTCCAGTTTGTAATCCTGGAAGTTATTCCCTACCTACATCAAGAAAATATTACTTTCAAGCTGAAGAATTCCTGGTTTGATCCCCAGCCAGTACAAAAAGGGGAAGAGGTAAGAGATGGCCTGTAGCCACCTTTGTTTCCTTCATACCCCACCTCCGCACAGATGCGACTTAGGATGAGCCCAAAGGTATCGACTCAACCAAACTGCCAAAAGTTCAGAATCCCTGAGAGCGATTTAGATTCAAGTGAGAGTTCCATCACCGACATCAGCTAGTAGCAGAATCAAACAATCATATCCTGTGGCTCCAAATCAGGAAAGCGCTTAAACATGGGATTAAATCATCCCTATTAGGGAATGCAATTAAACACATGCTTATAATTAAGAATGGCTGTAATTGTCCTTCATGAACAAAGATGCATTCCTGAACTCAGGCCTTCTTAGTCTTAGAAAAACCTTAAAA